AACAAACAAACACACATGCATACAAACATACATGTAGTCATGCATACATACAAACGTACATACAAACACATACACACATACATGCATGCATACCTCAGCGCTATTTGCGCTCTCACAATGTGAACATCGATTTTTGTGAGTTAAGCCAATGTTATTTTTACACATTAGCGCGTTTGCGTTTTACGCACCAGTATTCACTGATTAGCACTAATGTTCAGATGAAAATACTTATATAGTAATAGTAACAGTGGATACAATTTTGAGATTTGAATTTCAATAAGCTTTTCAGGATTTTGGTTGGATGCTAGGCTTCATATAGTTATCACACCACATAGTATTATTGTTATTAGTTGTAGAAACAATACTATCATCTTCATTATTATTATTATTGTTATTATTATTATTATTATTATTATTATTATTATTATTATTATTATTATCTTCACAACTTAACTTCACAATGAGCAAAATGGTCTTAACCTTTAATATTATTTTCTACAATTTTTACAGATTTTATCATTGCGTATTATTTAATTAACATTAACTTATATATATATATATATATATATATATATATATATATATATATATATATATATTTTTATCATTGTATGTTTTTTATGGTGAAAATTAAAAGATGTTCCCATAATTATTATTATTATTATTATTATTATTACTGTTTTTACATTTTTTGGTCATTTGAGTAAAATTATATTATTATTAATTAAACCACAATAGCAGAAATCAAATCTTCGTCAACAGTGTACAATAACGACAGCAAAAATGATGGAATCTTTTCAACACGACACACAACCTGGTTCACATAACAACGGCACTGTTGACAACAACATCAACAACAACAACATCAACAACAACATCAACACAATCAACAACAGCAACAACAACACAATCACCAACAGCATCAACAACAGCAACTTAAATGAAGTTGACGATGGCAGTAGCTCTTTGAAATTAGTTTCCAAAATGACAACAACAACTACTACAACTACTACGATTGGCTCTACTTTGTTGGACGGTGATAAACATACAGAAGATGTACAACAACAACATCATCATCAACAACAACTAATCGGTATGGACGTAGCCACAACATCGCAACAACAACAATTCCACAGCAACATTTCCAACAACTCAAATTTGCTAATTGATCTAGGCAGCAACAACAACAACACGGCCAATGTTGTCAACAGCAACAGCACCTCAACAATGTTGCAAAATACTTCAACAGTTGAGCAACTAGCATCCTCAAACAAAGACAACTTATTGTTGGATTTGGAAAATGTGACACATTCAGCAGAGCAGCAACAAAATGAAGAAAAATCCAAAATCGAAACCGAAACTAAACATGTTGATGGAAATTCTGGAGTTGCTACTAATACTAATAATACTGAAATTTCTACTACTAATACCATTTCCACTAATAGTAATAATATTGGTGCAACTAATTCAGCAGCAGCAGCAGCAGCAGCAGCAACAACAGCTACTGCCACTACTACAAAAACTGTTAGAAAGATCAACAACAACAACGTCAGCAACGAAGGTAGCAACAACAACACCCCTAAAGCAAGCAGCAGCGCCACTAAACAAACAGCAGCAAAACAACAACAACACACAACAACAACGACACAAAATCGGCAACATCAACACCAATAAAACATCATCAACAACAGCATGAATCACATCAACAAAAAACTACATCAACTCCAAGGCCAAAATCGGCAACAACTAAATCAGCCACATCAAAAACAACAACAACTTCTGCAGCAACACCACCAACAACAACAACATCAGCAGCCAAGACAGCAGCGGCAACCACAACAACCACAAAGCCGGCAGGGTTAAAGTTGAAAATTGACACTTCAAAACAGGAACATAAAGTTGAAAAAACGCAACCCTTATCCGCTCCAGCGTCTGAAAATAATAAAAATAATAAAGTTCGTGAATTTAAAATTATCTGACGATTATACATTATCTTTTATTTTGTTAAAATATTATACAATAATAAATTAATTCCGTGCAGGTTCCGAATTTGAATTTGAAAATCAAATCCCCCGCCATTGAGAGCGTTGGTTAGTTGTACCATTAAACTTTTTTTTTAACTTTGATGTCATCGTTATCGTGACGTCATCGTCATCGTGACGTCATCATCTTTAATATCATCTCTGTATTTACCCTCGCGTCATCATCACCGACTTAATCATCAGTCACTGTGTGTGTGTCTGTATGTATGTATGTATGTATGTATGTATGAATGAATGTATGCATTTATGTATGTATGTATGTATGTATGTATGTATGTATGTATGTATGTATGTATGTATGTATGTATGTATGTTAAAACCAAAACATGATGAGTGACACTGAACCGTCAAACATCAAGTAACAAATGGATTAACACTTTGATTTGTCGTTAATTGCACATGTCGGCATTCAGTTGGATATTTTCAAGCACACAGACACGCAGGAACCGCTGCAACAAGCACGAAATGTGGTTAGTTGCGAAAAACAGTCCGGGCGCCTACCATCATGCGCAGAAATGCCGGATGGTTCCTTGAGAACCGGGATTGAAGCCTTGGAGAAGAGCCGACAAATGTAATCGTTTAGCGCTGAGTGACGTAGTTGACGGCCCCCACCCAGGCGACAAACCAAACCGTGGTGCCCAAACTCGTCCGCCCCAGCGCCATATCGGCACGTGTATTTATTCTGAATGACCAGGCCAAGTCTGAAGCCAATGGCAAATCTCACAGACTCGTCGTCAAGCCTGGTGCCCACAGAGGTGTTGGGCCACGATCTCAACCACCCACAGCTGGCAACGCTGGACATGGCCAATAAACGAGCGGTGGAAAAGTCGTCGCCGCATGAAGACAACAAATTTTGAAAGATTTTTTTATATTCTTCGTTCAAAATTTGGACGTGCGTACGGTCCCCCGGTCCGGACACTGGGGGAAGAATATCGCGGCAACGAAAAAACCGGTGGAGCAGGGAAGACTGCAGGTCGAGAGTGGCAGCGGCAGAAAAATTATAAACAACGGAAGCCAGCTGAACCACGCTAAGCAACCCCAGCTCACCAAATCGCACCGGCAGCTGAGCCTGGGACCAACCACTGTCAGTCACTTGAACATTGCAAATCGACAACAGGGCGGTGCGCAGGGCTCCGTCAAATTCGCCCAATTTAGAAGGGTCAATGTGTTTAGATGTACGCAGGAAGTACATCAATTTGGGCAAACTGAGGGCATTGCGGATAATAGTCAAGGCATCATGGGCCGAAAGACAGGAAGCACGACCCAGGGCAAATTTAAGCTCAGAGAGCTTTTGGTCAAAAAACTTTATTTGATAATCGCCCTCGAACAAGGGTGTGCCTAAAAAACTCAGTTCTGATGCACCAACTCTGGGTATTTCAGCCAGCGCATGTGGCACCTGAAATAAACTTTGGCAGTGAAGTTCGCATTTTTTAATGTTTAACTCTAAGCCAATTGCAGCGGAGTTATGCTTCAAATATTCGTAGCTATCGGCCAGAGTTGGACCGTCCGAAGCTATGCTGATATCATCCAGATAAGCGCAAACGAAAGTGGACGAAGCTTTCTCTAAGAGTGGATGAAGAGTTAGTGCGAACAACAAAGGACCAAGGGGATCACCCTGCTGTACCCCCTCGGACGATTCTACAACCCAAGAGTGGTAGCCAAGGGAAGAGACTCCGCCATAGGCAGAATGGCAAAAATGATAGATGTTGGGGCAAAAAAGTTTGACAGCCTCCAACATCGAGTCTCTTCTCAAGGCATTGAAGGCATTTTTAAAGTCCAGTTTCAGAAACCCCATGTATGTATGTATGTATGTATGTATGTATGTTAAAACCAAAACATGATGAGTGACACTGAACCGTGCTGTGAGTACTAATCATGCTGTGAGTAGTGCTAATATTAAAATGTTGTATGTATGTATGTATGTATGTATGTATGTATGTATGTATGTATGTATGTATGTATGTATGTATGTATGTATGTATGTATGTATGTATGTATGTATGTATGTATGTATGTATGTATGTATGTATGTATGTATGTATGTATGTATGTATGTATGTATGTATGCATGCATGTATGTATGTATGTATGTATGCAT